GACGAGTTCAAATGTGATTACGGCTTCGAATGCGAAGACCGTGTTCATGTCATCGCGGANGCGGGAAGGGATATCGTTAGGAGAGACAGACTAGGGAAGACATTTTTGAGCCACCTTTGGCAAAGTAGAAAGGAACGATTGGCCATCGGTGATCGGTCCTGTGAGAACAATGCTCCGTCCTGGCGAGGACGCGTGGTTAATGGTCTAACCGCTAAGGCATGCAAAACATAAGAGTACGCACCCCCCCCCCACCCCCCCGAACAGTATCGCACCTTATACTTAGTTGGTCTCGCGAAAGCTTCCAAAATTATGTAACCGCTTTCCGTCGACAAGCTAGCCCACCCGTCCATCGGCTTGATGATGTGCGCCCGTCGCGACCGCACCTGTGCTACCACAACCACCTATAAACGCAACGCGGTTCGGGGGGGGGAGTTGGGGGGTTTCGTGCGCGTGAGTGTGTGTGCGAGCGGCGCTCGAACGCATCAGCGTCGCGAATTATGGGGGTGGTTCCACTACGCTTTCTTCGAAAACAGGGTGGACAGAAACCGCCGAAACACGACCGAGATGAAAATACACAACGCTCTTAAGCCAGCGAAAGAGGGTGGGGGGTGTATCAGCGTGCATGGGAGAGGGGCTTCCTTCGAATTGCTTCGACCGTGTTCAGAGGTTCACCGATGGGAGCGCGACGAAGACTTGTCCGGTCCCGGTGCGCATTGGGTGAGATAAAAGGGCGACGTTTCATCCAAAGACATTCGGCGAACGCTGCCCGATCGAAGCCGCCACAGTGTCAAGAGCCAACTACTCGCGAAGCATTCCGACATTCTTCTGTTTCCTTTATTTCTTCCCCTCCGAAGAACACACGAAGCGCTTGCTAGGCAACGTGTGACACCAGCCGTAAGAGCTCCTACCGCACCAAGACATAACCAAACGCAAAAGCGGGATAGAGTTGGCGCCGCCACAACTCCGTGACAATCTTGTCGTGAGTTCTCCCACTGCGCTTTGCAAACATGGCCACTTTCTGTTTCTTCATCTAAAACAACAAATCTGAAAAAAAGCAATTGCTCCCTCCATCTACACTCTACCGCTTCGTCTTGTCTCCGCTTTCGAGGGGGGATACATAGCCAACTATCAATACATATCCGGGCAATCCTTCTTCAACCGAACAGCGTTTGAATGCGCAAAGCAATGTACCGCTGCAATGTCTGGCGTCGCGTCATGGTCCACCACCACGTTCCTGTGCCGAACGGCGTTGGGCGAGAAAAAGCTGCTGCCGTGATGTTTGCGCCAAAACCTCTACCACAACGCCGAACCCGCACAGGCATCCATCATCCAATCGCAGCAGCCACACGGCACTCAAGGTACACACATAGCCACAGCAGCAGAGCAGAAGAGGGTTTTACTCACCGTGCCCTGCGGCAGTGTTCTCAAAACCGGCGAGTCGAGTCGCGCCGTCATTCTGACTGTCGCCCCGCCTAACCCCACCACTTGAAACTTATTTCTCGACGCTGGGGCAAAAGGAAAATTCACAATGGGAAGGAGGGGGAGGGGCGTCAATACCGCGCGTGCTGAAGTAAATCATAGGAGGACACAAGGAATTTCTCTGGAGTGGGCTCATGAGAGAACAAGCAGTGTCAGCGAAGGGGTGCGAAACAAGATGAAAATGTAGCCGGATCGCAGGACCAACCCACAGCTGGCTGCTAAAGCTGTGGTGTGACGTTTCCCAAGCTCAACAGCTCACACAGCTCACGTGTCTTTGGCTCTCAACAGTCCAGCCAACCTCAACCAACCAAGAAACAGTGTGCACGACACATCAAACACAGGCTTGGGGCTGTCACCTACGGGCCTCACCAGGAGTGTGGTGGGTTTTCGCAGATGATTCTAAGGGAATGGGGCCCACACCTAGGATTGTGATGAGAGTTTTCTGGTGACAGCAACAGCAGGAGGTCTGGTTGTTTAGGTACTGCTGTGGGGTATGTGCGGTACGTGTCGTGTGCGGGTATGCATGGTACACTCTTTTTCCTGCGGGTTCTAGAGTCGTCGGGTGCAAGGATTATTTGGCCATTTCTGGGTACAAAATCAACCCCATTCGGGTACACACCATTAAACCAGCATCGGATACACCACAGGGTCGAGATGCCAGCGGCAGTTGTACCCGATGGAGGTTGCTCCAAAAGCGGGTACGACACAGGGTCGAGATGCCAGCGGCAGTTGTACCCGATGGAGGTTGCTACAAAAGCGGGTACGACGGTGTATCGGGGAATCAGCTGGCTGCCTGGGGGTGCATGCGTGTTGATTTTCAAGTGTACCCTAAAACGGTGATGGACCAGGTCACCCGTGCCGGGGTACTGGTCTTTGTCGTAAACCTAAGCCTGCGCCTAAGCCTAAGCCTACTGTGGTACTGTACTTTTTTCGTACAACTGCTGTACCTCTCGCCGCCACTGAATAGCGCTCCCATTCGGCCTCGCAGAGAAAAAACTCATGCCTTCGTATTTTGGAGAGCAATGTTCTGTGGACGGTTCCCTGCCAAGGGGCGCTTCTTGGTTGCTAATGGGAAAACTAAACACACACACAGAAAGACTGCCCGTTCGAGATATACGCAAGTTACTGTTACAATTCAATGATTTCAGCCAACCGCTGCCGGACAGGAAACGATGACTTGGGTTCGACGGCAGCATTGTGTTTCACAGTCGAATGTTACAGCTGTGGGAGGCTTCGGGAGGGTTGCCTTGTCGAATGGACACGTGCTGTTGTGCCCTTTTGCCCTCAACCATGTGTTTTCTCAACCAAGTGTTTCGATGTGGGCGCGCACCTGGCACGCCGTTGGCTAGTCAATGCACGAGTTCTAAGCATGGCGTGCCATAAGACTATTGTACTGCACATACTATTGACCTCCTCCAACAGCCGACATGCGGGGATGCTGAGCTCGGACACAACAGCATGTGCAGGTTTGGTCTTGTTGACACCACAACAGCAATTGCCGTGCTTCCTTTGCCTGTGCTTGGTAAGCACACAAGTTTACAGCAGTGGCGGCTGCGCTACAACAGCAGTCACAGCTGTGACTGGAACTCTCGACGGATAAACTCTTTCTGCTGGGGAAGGAAAGGGACAGGAAAAAAGTGGTTCCTTCGTCCCAAGAGTGGGGTGCCACCATCGACAACAAGAAGAGAGCTTCCGCACTGATCTTCTCTCGCAAGCACACACACGCCGCGGATGTTCCGGTGGACCAGGCATCAGAAATATTGGTGGCGGCGAAAGACCGGCCTACCGTCCGTCCTCTCTCGATGCCTTGTTTACTCATCGTCACGTACCGTCAGGGACGAAAACCCGCTCCGTTGCCGAGTCGTCCATACACCACTTGGGGTGCCTCCTGCTGTGCTCATGCTTGTCGTCGTTGTTGATGTCGTTGTCCACAAGGGCGTCGTCCTTATCGTCCGCTTCCACGCAGAAGTACAAGCCGCAACACCTGGCTCCCATGTCTGGAGCTACTGCTTAGGTCGTTTCTCCTCTCGCAGAACAAAGAAGAACTACTGTACATAGACCTGATGAACAGCTTGAGCAGACGACGAGCCGACTGCCGACAAACGCGGGGAAGTGGGGGGAGGGTCCCCTCGACCAGTCTGTAGTGCTGCACGACTGAAAAAAAAAAAAGATGGCGGAGGAACAAAAATTATCGTTTTACACAGAAAAGCAGCGCGACCGGCGTACATCCACCCAAGGCCAAAGGTTTACAGCAGACTATTCCAGTAGCTACTAGGGAACGAAGATTTGCCAAATTCCGGCCACTGTAGGCTTCAAACTTGTCCGCGCAACACGCAGTCCTTCCCCTCAAAAATGTGAGACTCGTATCCACGCGGCGCAGTCACCCTGCTGTGCACCCGCCAAAGCGACCAAGCACAAGAACGCGCCCACTTTAGCATCAACCACCACCAACGTTTGAGGAAAGATTGACTGAGAACCATAGAGATTATTCCAGAAGGGTTGAACTTGATGTTGGGTGGTCTAGTGGGTAGCCTCGTAGTCTGCTAAGGACCAGGTCATGGGTTCGAGTCCCGGCAGAGAGAGTTTTTTTCTCACTAAATAAATCCTGGTCTAGGATGAAAGCGACGCGCTGCAAAGCTCGTTTGTTAGTAAACCATAATCGACTTCGTAAGTCGCGAGGGAAGGGATTGCTGTACCCTTCTCGCGATAAAAATACCTCAGGCATGAACCGCAGGAGGGGGTCCAACCCCCCCCTCCTATGTGACCCCGGTTGGGTNAAAAAAAAAAAAAAAAAAAAAAAAAAAATACAACCATCCAGGCCAGGGTCACACGGGAGGGGGTAAACAGCAAGGCTTTTTCTTGTTATTTATTTTCATGCCGCACCTTCCTCCTGCGGTGCGTGCTGAATTTTATTTTCATCGCGAGAAGGGTCCAGCCGTCTCTGTCCCTCGTCAACGGTGCTAACGTCGAAGTTTAAGTTTGGTACTCACGAGAGCTATCAACTATATTTCGCTTTCACTCGCAAAATACGTAAATTTTTACCCCATGGGGATTCGAATTCACGACCTCTGCGACTAGCGGAGTACGAGGATACCACTAGACCACCGGGGCGACCGGTTCAGCAGTACAACTCTCCGGAATCCCGGAGAAAAAAACTATGAGAGGATGGAGTAGCGACAGCAATATCACGGCAGCTACACTAACAGGGAACTTGATCACTGACAACCTTGTGCTATCTGACGTCGCACGCAGACAGGCACGGCCGGCAATATGTACACATCATCATAATTGTTGAAGTATTTTTTTTCAAAAAATACGAACAGTCTACATTGTACGCACTGAGCATTGGGTGTGTGTGTCGAAAACTNCTCCGGAATCCCGGAGAAAAAAACTATGAGAGGATGGAGTAGCGACAGCAATATCACGGCAGCTACACTAACAGGGAACTTGATCACTGACAACCTTGTGCTATCTGACGTCGCACGCAGACAGGCACGGCCGGCAATATGTACACATCATCATAATTGTTGAAGTATTTTTTTTCAAAAAATACGAACAGTCTACATTGTACGCACTGAGCATTGGGTGTGTGTGTCGAAAACTCGAGGAAATACTTACACACGAACACCGCACACAAGACTGCCCCCCCCGGGTTGCCCACACCTGTCAACATCATGCCCGAACTGAAGGAAACAACAAACACCTTATTTACAGTCAGTACAAACGACACAGGCAGGCCCGGAACGCACACAGCACCCCCGTACCTTTCAGGCAGATTGCGACTAACAAAATACTATGCCAATAAACAACGGGCACCCAACGCGGCCGAAAAATGATCCCCCCCGTCCACCTCCCTGCGCAACTGGGTAGGGAAACACAGGGGAGAAAACGCGCGCTCTGTTCGTCCGTCTGATATCTCGTACCCCGGGGTCGTCGTATTTCGTGGACGGATGCATCCAACGGAGGTGAAGCACGGACGGACCTGTTCAACCACCAACAAGGACGCGCGAAACATGAAACATGGAGTTAGAATAAATCAGAACACACGATCTTTCGGTACGACGTGGAGGTCTGACGTGCAAATAATGCCGGGCACGACATCCCCAATCCAAATCCCAAGGAACGATATATTGTTGTTGTTTCTCACATTAGCTCAATAGTCCACAAAAAATGGGGAGCCCGTGGTCTCAAAACCCGGCACATACGACGCCGCGGGCAAACAAAACAAAAATAGGGTACAAACCACTCGGAACAAGAAAACAAAATGATAGAAAGAAAAGAACAGGTATCGCACCGACCGTTCGAGAAAAGAGCTCTCGGAAACCGATCGAAATAAAACAATAACAAAAATAAAGGAGGACACTTCCCACACCCGCCCAAAGAAAAAATCAAAGGGTAACGTACCAGCACCAGGCACTACACACCAGGGCATGGGAGTAACGGAGCAAACAGGACAAAGAGGCGGCAGATGGGCAGACAGC